CACCAATTGTTTCTAACCATTGGTTTTTACCATTCCGAGGACCCCAACCAGGAAGTCTACATCTTTCTACGTGGCTTAGACTAACTGTTGTGGATTTCATTGACTGGTGCCATGTTTTCGTTTGACCGCCGCTAGCTCTTTTCCAGCCTGGCCCTATATCAGCTAACATTGCCCATTGTCGAGGAAGGCGATGACTAGACATACGTAACACATGTCCCAACCATCTCAGTCGATGTAATTTCAGTCTCGTCGACTGATTTCACCTCCTTACCTAGCACTCGACGCCTAACCTCAATATTACTCACCTTATCATACCACTTCACGCGGGAGATAGAACGCAGACACCTATGATCGAACACAGATAATCTTTTCATGTCTTCTGCTCTCAATGGCCAGGTCTCACAGCCAGCCATAAAGGAGGACGGAGCGGACTGTTGAGCAGTACACACACTCTTCGGTCGATAGTCGGATGTCACGTCTACGCCAGAGACGGCGTAAACTGGCATATGCGAACCTAGTCCTCTGTATTCGTGCTGAGATTTCGTCGGAGATCAACCCGTTGGCAATGGCTCATGGTACTTCCCAAGTAAGTGAAGCGGTCAACGTGCTCTACTACTTCACCTCTTATTTGTAATCTAGGGGTCGGTGAAGTCCGATCCTGCAGCATCATCTTACATTTTACAGGGGCGAATCGCATGCCAAACATACGAAGATTGTTGCTCAAGGTGTTCAGTAGACTCAGTATTTTGTCAGCGTCTTCATCTAGTTGGAAGGTCTATATCATCCGCATATTCTAAGTCGACGAGATTATTCCCTGGTAGCAAGTCAATCCCTGAGTCGCTGAAGTGTGTTAGGGTTAAGTCCATTAATACGTCTATGATGAAATTGAATAGGAATGGGGATAATGGGCATCCTTGACGGACGCCACTCGTCGTCACCACTTCAGATGACAACTCGCCATAGGCCCTCACCTGGCTGCATGAGTACGAGTAGAGTGCTTTAATCAGTGCAATGTATTTTCTCGGCATTCCCTTCACAGCCAAGCATCGCCAGAGAACCTCTCGGTCGACAGAATCGAATGCCGCCTTTAGGTCAAGAAATATAGTGATTGTCGGACGCCGGTAGGAATGCCTATGTTCTAGAATCTGTCGAAGGGTGAAGATATGATCAATACACCCTCTACCTTGCCTAAAACCTGCCTGGTTTTCTCGTGTTTGTGTCTCCCGAGCAACACTTAGTCTACGCAGTATTATTGAGCCTAGGATTTTAGATACTATATTAGTCAAGCTAATGCCTCTGTGATTATCACAAGAAGACTTGTCTCCCTTCTTGTATATCGGGATGATCAGTGACTTACACCAACCCGATGGGACTTCCTCTGATTCCCAGACGCTGCCTAGAACCTCCGTTAACGCAGACAGTAAACTGTCTCCACCGTACTTAAATACCTCTGGAGTCAATAAATCGGGTCCCGCTGCTTTGCCTTGCTTCAGATTGGTGACAGCTTTAGTAACCTCAGTTAAGGACGGAGGACCTGTGTCTATCTCCCATTCAGGGAGGTGTTGGATGTTCGGCAGGTTAAGTGTGGCTGTGGGCCAATTAAACTGCTCCTCATAGTGTTCTTTCCAGCGCTCCAGACGTCTACCCTGGGAGCTAATTATGGTGCCATTTTTCTCCGAGATTGTTTCGCTTATCATTTGCCTTTTGCCACCTGTTTCCCTGATAAGCCTGAATAGTTGTCTGGTGTTGCCAATCGCCGATACCTTTCCCATCTCTTTCGCTTATAGATCGACTAATCCCTATCTGTTGTGTGCGTCGGTTGTACAGCAGTAGAATGCTCGCCAACCACGCCTCATGTGGTTCGGGGTTTGATTCCCGACCAACGCACTCCTAAACCTCGCTATGCTGGTAATAGGACCGGTAAAGAGGGAAGGTTGGGCATAAGGCTAACAACTGCACCCCATACATATAAACACCAGTGCTACCGAAACTTCAAAGCTCAAGCTTGTAGCCCTATGTTCCACTATGAATGCAAAGGAATAAAACAACAATCCCCCTCTATTCATGTGTAAACTGATAGGCGCTTTGAGATACAGGAGGTCAATTGGTTTCCATCAAATAGACATTTTTCTCAAGCTTCGCATGTTTTTGAGAGTAAAACAGCAAAAATCTACACACTGTTCTGTTTAAATACTTTTCGACAGATCGGCTGATCAATCGTGTATTTGAATTCAGAAGTTTACGAGTTGGTCATTCCTTTTTAAATAATATAAGATCGATAATAGCATCACATTGTACTAGGACATAAAAACAATAAACAGACTTTATTCTAAATCTTGTCTGCCTTTTCTTCAAAAATTGATTCAATATACATTTTGTAGAAAAAACAAAGATGTAAGTTATGCAGTAGAAACTCACCTAGTGTTATTGTTACAGCATTGTGCGGATTGAACTTGGGTACAAAACCAGAAAAAACAAAAAACTCTGCATTTGTACGCTTTCCATAATCCATAAATATCTTTAACCGGAATTCGAAAAGTGAAGAAGAAGAAACAGGTTTATTTCAATAATGCATTTGTTTCAAGTGGAATTATGAAATTCCCTAATAACAGAGTATCTGAAGAAATGATTCGATATAGGAAACTACATAAAATGATGTATTAATATTATTCCCTTGGGTTTCGAGTGAAATATAGAATTTCAGCAGCACATCACCGTTTCACTCTGTTCTCTGCAGTCCCTCTTTTTTGTTTTTAGCTCGATCCACCACTCCCCATAAGCTTTCATCTCCTCCATGTCACCCTCAGACGCGTAACTTGTCGTTTTCCATTTGGATACTACTAGACGCCATGGCGCGCAATGTCACTGAACGGTGTTCTAAGCGTATTCCTGATCTATCTCCGTTTCCTTCAGTAATATTTGTTGTGTGATAGGTTGTTAGTTGGATCGATATGATTCTCCACACATAAAATGTTTTGTACGAATTGAGTGTATAAAAAAGAGTATACGCAAACTGGATAACTAGACCATGTACCAGATAACGGAGAAACACTAAAAAACAAGGAGTAGAAATTCATGAGTGATGTTCTACTTCACACTTTTGATATATCACAACCTAAGACATAGGAAGTAGCGCCTATACCTATGATAGGGAAGATACAGGTTTTCAAAATCTGTCCCAACAAAAAGATAGTGAGGTTAATTTTTCCGACCAGAATAGTAATGCCTAAGTTTAATCCCAATAAAATATATCTCCTACGAATTCACATCTCAAAATATACATAACTAATAAACTACATAAAAGTTGATTGAGGGAAATGAATGTAGATTTTTGCCAAATAAATGGATATCAAAGTAAATGTTTGGCTTAAATTAAGATTTATGCAGTCAAATGTATTTCAAGTGTTATTTACGAAAACAGTATGGTAAACGAAGATGATTTACCTGATCACCTGGTTCATATGCCTCCATTGTAGAAAACACTAGTGCATCCATCTCCAAATCATAATGACTGGTAATCTGAAGAGAAGAGTGAAATCAACATATATGTGTGAAAAGATGAAATTAAACTGAGACAGTACTCAACAACCACTTCCAACTCCGTGCAGCAGTTGGCGATGGGCCACACACATAGTGTAAAGCCTGGCTGCCAAAACTGGTTGATTGCTGACGAAATCTCAGCACAGATACAGAAGGCTCGTGTGGCATTTGCTAACCAGCTGGTGCCACCTCTGGCGTTGGCGTGATATCCGGCTATCGACCAAAGGGCGTGTGTACTGCTCAGCAGTTCACTCCATTCTCCTTTATAGCTGTGAGACCTGGCCATTAAAAGCGGAAGACATAAAAAGACCAGCTAGCTACCTTTGATCATAGTTGTCTGATATCTATCTCCCGTGTGAAGTGGTATACTAGGGTGAGCAATATTGAGGTTAAGCGTCAGTCGAGTGCTAGGTAAGGAGGGAAAATCAATCGACGAGTTTGTGAAGCAGCAGCATCGATTAAGATGGTTAGGACATGTATTACGTACGCCTAGCCATCGCATTCCTCGACGGGCAATGTTAGCTGGCTGACATGGATCAGGTTTGAAAAGAGTTAGTGGTAGTCAAACCAAAACATGGCTTCATCAGTCAATGAAATACACAACAGTTAGTTTAAGCCAACCAACCAAGTAAGGAGGTATAAACTACCCGGTTGGGGTCCTCGGGACGGTAAAAACCAATGAAGGCTGGAGACAATTGGTGATATGACTCAAAATCGTTCTCAATGGCGCAGATGCATCCACTCCTTGTGACCTATAATACCCAATAAAACTACATGGTTCTTCGATATTACTATTCTTTCTGCCTCATATATCTGTTTACTGTCACTATTTTGCATTTTTTCTTAATTTCTTCCCTTACTTTGTGTGCTCAGTGAAGTATGGCGACTCGAACTGCTGCACATCGGTGCAAAGTTCAACGTTGAAACCAGTCAATCAGTCAGGTTGGGAGTTGGTTGAGAGCCTAGACGGATAAGCCACAGCTCTCTACATGTGAAAGAATAGACATAAGTTGAAAAATACTAATCAACAACCCAATTCATTCGGATACAAGTGAGTTAATAAAGCGATTAAAGACATTCAGTTGGCAAAATATATGCAGAGCTGGAGACAGCATAACATTATCGATACAAAATTCTTTTAAAGTGCTTAATAAATGATAGACAAAAGACTAATTAACATCTACATGAAAAATAATAAAAGTTTTCAGCCAAATTTATTTAACCGTACCTGGATTAAGCTTTAAAAAAGGCACAAAAAACGTATTAATCCAAAAAAATAAAAACCTAGTGGAGGATGACCAACAACAACAGCAGGTGAGCTAACAATCACTAAGATATCACTAATACCTCGTATAATGTTCAAATTTCGAATTTGTAGAATTATGATTTATCCCAAGGTAAGTTGTGCGTATGTGCGTGTGTATGTGACATGAACTAAAATTATTTAGAAAACCCTTGAAAATCAGGGGACGATAGAATTCAGTATAAGTTACTTGATGTTGTCTGCATTAGCAATTACTGATACAAGGAAAGACTTTATCAAACTTATAATTTCATTGGTAAGCAAAGCACCTTATGTTATCGAAGAGCATATGACTACATTCTAAGTTTCTGTTCTGTTAATAAATGCAACATGATGTTGAGATGTTATATTACCAACGCGTAAAGATAAAGAGAAGGACAAAGTGCTGAGAAGTTTCATCAAGTTGACGTTTGAGATCATCTGAAAACGCATTAAATTTTCAGTTACACGCTATAACCGAAAAGCATACATTATTAAACCCCTAATTACTACGTTACTCGTGTGACAATTTCGTCATACTCAGGCATTAATTGGAGCCTTCGCTAAATGTTTAAAATAGATTACTACAATTCACATTCGTACAGATTGCTACTACCGCCATTACCTTTACAATCTCCTTATTCGTAACTGCTCATGTTACTAGACCGAAATGCTCAGTGTATGTTTAAAGTATCTTAAACCAAAAGTGTGACTCTACTCCGAGCGAATTCTTTATCGTAAATCCATTAGATCTTGAAAAACCACAAAAATGAATTCATTTTTTCTAACCGTATTCTGAGGATCAGAAACACAGTGTGTCGCCCCTTATAAACTAAACGCTAGATAGTGACATAATTCAGACAATAAAATCATTATCTATCAACTGTTTAGGTACTTTTTGTTTGAATGCAGCTATAATATTGTTATTGTTGAACCGGGTTCGGAAAGATCTTTCGTTTGTTCGTTTTTTCATGTTCATGAAGACAAAGGCATCTATGTACTAATGTGTGGTAACTATTCAGACACAGCTTACCTATAAGCGCTTTGATTGACTGTCTTCGAACGGAATAAGTGTCATCCAATAGGCCTTCTCACTAATTCAGACATATTTGGATGTTTTGTTTTTGGCAAAAAAGTCGACAGATGGTCGTAGAAATTATCTCTTACATCATCTGGGTTACACATAGAGGGTTTAAGGGCACTGACTACGAGAAATTATCAGTGTGTTTTACGATTCTCATTTAATTTTTACATTGTTTTAAAGGAATACTGAACATGCAACTAGCAACTGGTATCCAGTTACGCTGAATGCTTTTGATCGAAGAAGTCAAAACTATCCTTATATCCAGAAGATTGTGAAATTCGAATTTTGGATCCAGTGACATTCCAAGTGCGATGTCAACTGACATAAAATGAACGGCTAAACTTGGATTCTTAATGTGTATCTCACAAAAAGTATATCGACGGCTCAGAATAGAAGAGAAATTTACTCATAGATTCGATATAGGACACAAACGTTGAATGCTCCAACATTTCATTTAGTGCTGAGCTTCAAGAGATTAGGTAGGCTATCTACGATCACTACCTCAAGGTTGCGAAGCATAAAGTTAAAGATAATGTGGACTTGATAGTGAAGAGTAACATAAGAAATTTAACCAGCAACGACTTTGACGGTTAGTATCTAAATGACAAATTAGAAATACCGCGGCTGCATATTGTGTTAGTTGATTATCATAACGAAAATCCTACCGACAAAAACTACACAAATCAAAATTACCGGTTATCATTTAAATACATGCTATAAATGGTACTCTACCTCAAAGCAAACAGATGTAATACCCGGATTTCACTATGAAGAATGTAAGCAAAATAAACACAATTCGATAACTAAACACAAATTTATGAAATACACTTCGAATATTTGTTGCATGAAGATTGAAGATATTACTTAGGAGATTATGTTGATGTAAATGGTTTATTTATAATCCCTAACTCCTTTATATCGAACCCCATGACTAGCTAATACAAATATTTCAGTGTTTACTTGGAGCAAGTATACGTAACATAAATAAGGCCTACTATCACTATTAAGTGGTTTAAGATTTCATATACTTGTGTAATTATTATATACCATCAATACATACTTTATATTATTCTCAACGAACAGCAAATGAATTGTTAAACGTACACACTTATTACCATCGGTATGAGAAAAATATTTTGCGAAAATCGACAAATAAATATTGAGAAGGGACCATAAAAATGGTCAATTAATTGGTGAACTAGTGTTCTATGAAATATTGATTCAGTATCAATTCTAGATAAACTAGACGGCAGAAATGTAGTCAGATTTGTCCTCAAATAATGAAGTTAAATTTAAACGTTATTCACCCACAAAAATCACTAACACTACGTAAACCAATAATGAAAAGGATTCATAACTTACATAATCAGATTTATGATTCATCAAATCCCAAACTGGTATCAGACACATAATTTTATCAGTACCGTTACGATGAGGTATATAATTGCTTCGACTCATTACTGTCGATACCGCCCACCTAAACAAGAAAAAAAATAACAAAATTAGACGGAGATTTCATAGAAGTGTCACGGGGTTGAAAAGAGAGGACTACAAAAACATTAAAGATATGGAGCATTTCAGTAAAAAGAAACTGCATTTTAGTGCAAATGAATTCACACACTACAAAGGAACAATTCTAATACCGATTTTTTAAGGACTACTAGAATGGAACCCTAGTTAAATTATGAGACATTTGTGTCAGTCCACAATACTACTTGACCGCAACAAGTAAACTTACGGCGTAACTGAAATTTAGTCTTTAACCTTTGGGAAAATTTATCAAATGACTAACTGACTGAATAATCAACACAGAAATTTGTACAAAAGTGCAACTGTTCACGTTGCTATACTTCATAAACGAGGTAGAAAGAGAAATGCAAAGAATATATAATAAATGAGAATGTGTTGAGGAAACAATAACTGCACAAAGAATAACGAGGATAAAATGAATATGGATGATTTTAAGAAGTGAATGCATTCGCATCAGTGAAAAAGGTTTTGAGGCACACCGGACAATGGTTTTCAGTGTTGGGGGCCCCAAACAAGAAGCTTATTGCCCCTTATGTAGCTCAGACCAACATTTAAAGACTTCACAGATTGGTGCCACGTCCTGCTTTTACGACTCTTTCTCTCAATACAACCCTAAATCACTTAACAAGGCTCGTCAATGAAGGCGGTGGGTTGGCATGCGTTATACATATCCTATTCAATCGACTGATTTCCCTTCCCTTACCTAATACCCTACCTCATTAGTAGTGACAATACTATGCCACCATGCACAAATATTAAGGCTATCTGACTGGTTTACAACATATAATTTTGCACAAAGTACAGCAGTTCGGTTTGAAAAGTCCCATACAGCATACGAAGATGGAGAAGAGATTTCAAAGAACTACAATGAGCAGAAATGTACGACAGTAACAACAGAAACATGAATATTTAGTAAATCCTGGAGAATACAAAAAGTAAATGCATCTGCGTCACTGGCAACAGTCTTGAATCAGATCACCAGAAGTTTCTCATCATTGGTTCTTTGCATCCCTAGGACTCCAACTAGCTCTACGTGCCTTAAACCGAAATTCAAAGACTTCATGGACTGTTGCCAGGTTTGGGTTTGACTACTCTTAACTCTTCAACCGAATCGTCGTCACATAACATTGCCCGTCAAAAAGGACGATGGCTTAGCTTCCTTAATACATGTTGTGGCCATTTCAATAGATTCAGCTTCATAACCTCATTGACTGACTTGCTCTCTTTACCTAAAGCTACACTTAACCCTAATTTAATTATGCCACAACATGAGAGATAGGGGGTAAATGTCTGTGGTAGAAGAGAGCCAGTGTTTTCAGGTCTTTCACTTTCAATGGCCATGTTTCACAGACGTAAAACAAATATTGTGGTTTCATAGTAATGTCCAAATGACGAAGCACCAATAAATTAAGCCAAGATTGGTCCCAGTAATTACAGAAAATTTACAAATATAAACGGCTAGCACAGTTTTACAACGATTACACAAAATTTCTCTGAAAAGTTGTAGATAGATATCGAGAGTATATAGTTGTATAGTTACAGACAGTAGTGTATATTGTTTGGCGGTAGTTGCTCAACCTTTCGGTATTTTTATAAGCCTGTCAGTGAAAAGCGTTAACACTTATGCGAATATGAATAGAATGCTGGTCTCACTGACACACACCATACAAATGTTGGCTTCTTGAAGACCCTGGACTTTTCGCTGCTTGCCAGTTCCAAAGAATGAAGCTTTGAATATCAGATTGCAAGCTGCAAATATTACATTTGTTGCAGGTGAAAATACTGATTCACCTTACGAAGCCTCTGTAACAGAAGTGACGTGTTTCCACTCGAAGTACAGGCAAACTAGTCACATGAACAAAACACATGAGGCTATATAAAACAATCTAGTAACAGCAACCTGAGAAAGTAATTCTAGATACACTGTTTGCTACACATGAAATTATTCTTACATGTACAAATTCTGGCAAACCATATCTCACTATGTTAAACGAAAATTTACTACAAAACATCGTATTGATCACATACCTATAGTCGTCAAAACAGAATACAAAATTCGGAATGCCCGAAAACTTCTGGTTCTCCCTGAATTGACAGCAGAAGTAGGCATACTGTCGGCAAATAAACAGGTAGTTGGATGCAACTTTCTCTGACAAAAGTATGATAAAAGGGTTAAATTTAACTACCCAGAACTGGTGAGCCCTTTAAATGACGAATATCAGCAGCATCCATATACACAAATGTAGGGTAATCAGATGGCAATGAGCCTGTGCAATGAAAAAATAGTCAGACTCCTTACTTATGTAGTCCCACCATTTTGAATTCTCTCCTTCATATAGCTCGCCTAATACACACAAGGACAACGCGATATTCTCCATGTTAGATGCCAATGAGTCATTTCTTATGAAATCCTCTGAAAAATTAGATGTATAAGCAATAAACATACTTAGATCTTCAGTTGAACAATCTACACAGAATATATCTTTTCTAGGGATATTGAGAAGTTCATCACCCCACTGAGATCATAAAAATAACTTGGAATTACCCCAATTTGAACTAGAGCACGTAGTCCGAAACCATATTCTCCAAACCAGTGAACCGCGTACTCACCAGGCACATAGCATTCGAGTGAAGATGTGAGACGCTCGATACTTATTTTCCTACTTTCCACAGATTTTCTCAGTTTAGATACAAATGAATAATCTAAACGGATATTTTTTGATGACCATCTTACCTTTCTGAAGAGTGATAATTTCAGACGCGATGGATTGAAGTTCTTCTAAAACATGCAATGCATTGCCCGAAGTAATTTTCGACCTTAGACATACTGACATATAACTAACGTCTGTAATTACATGACATAAGTTGTGCAGAAAGTGCAATTGTTTCGTCACGCACTCGAAGAAACCGTTTCTCGAGCTTATTCCCTTTCGGCATTGAACTGGAATACCTGTAATGAGAGAAAAACCAGCATAATGACACTAAGTAAGTTTTCTTCTCCTTCCCGTATCGTTGGCAATAATAGCAGCGACTGGTGATGTCTCCATTCGGGGTCTGTTGGGTTCTTGAACGGTCACGGCGAACGGGGCTCAGGGCAGCTGCAGTGGGCGCTGTCGGCAATGGGCATAGAGAGCTGCTAGGTGTGCACACGCAGTCGTTCTCAGTGTCCATGGAACAAAGAATAATCCGCTGTAACTCGGATGTGCTGGTTGGAAGCTGACGTCAAAGGTTTGTGCGCAGGTCACCGGGCATCATTCCCTTAACAAAGCGTGTGCACACCGCCTGGTCTTTTTCGTAGCGGTCCCCGTGACTGTCAAGTCCAGCTGACAGTAGCTGGAGGGCGTGAAGATAATCCAGGAAACTTTCTCCTGGTAGTTGTCGGTGTGCAAGCAGTTTGATTAGGGCATGTTGAGGGCGCTGCCTCAGGTCAAAGCACTGATCTATGATCTCCCAATTAGTGCGCATAGAGTTGGTATTGCTGAAACCAGCAGCATCTGCACGGGCGAAGGCGTTGGAAGAAACGGATGCAGGTGTTTCTCGACGGTACTCCAGTGGCCCACCACTTCATCCACGTCCTCAACACCTTATCCGAGGACGCCTTCGCCCGTGCAGATGCTGCTGGTTTCAGCAATACCAACTCTATGCGCACTAATTGGGAGATCATAGATCAGTGCTTTGACCTGAGGCAGCGCCCTCAACATGCCCTAATCAAACTGCTTGCACACCGACAACTACCAGGAGAAAGTTTCCTGGATTATCTTCACGCCCTCCAGCTACTGTCAGCTGGACTTGACAGTCACGGGGACCTCTACGAAAAAGACCAGGCGGTGTGCACACGCTTTGTTAAGGGAATGATGCCCGGTGACCTGCGCACAAACCTTTGACGTCAGCTTCCAACCAGCACATCCGAGTTACAGCGGATTATTCTTTGTTCCATGGACACTGAGAACGACTGCGTGTGCACACCTAGCAGCTCTCTATGCCCATTGCCGACAGCGCCCACTGCAGCTGCCCTGAGCCCCGTTCGCCGTGACCGTTCAAGAACCCAACAGACCCCGAATGGAGACATCACCAGTCGCTGCTATTATTGCCAACGATACGGGAAGGAGAAGAAAACTTACTTAGTGTCATTATGCTGGTTTTTCCCTCGCTACATACCCTGTTAATCACGCAGCATTTTGAAACTGGTGCCTGTGGTTCAACATTCAAAACACAGGCGAAAGGCGGTAAGTCTAGGTTCAAGGTCAACATGGGTTTCTGCGTCCAATGGTTGTATATTTTCATGAATTCGTTTGCCATTGAAATTTTTAGGATCTTTTTGACAAGTTGAACTTCAAGCACCAATAAATAAGAGTGAATTGCGACGGGAAAATGACCTTGAAAGACTTAGTGATCGAGTTAGTGAAATCCGGCAAATAATGTTGTCATCATCAGTAAAATATGCTAATCGAAGTGTACTATTAATAAATGGGATATCTGGCAAGTGTCAGCTTAGGTTAGGGAAAGATTAATTTAAGGTTTAAGAGAAGGACAAGTTAGGGTTAGGTTAACCTAACAAAGGCAACATTAGAGTTAGTTCGAGTTAGATTACTGTTAGTTTAGGAATATTTTCACGTTAGGGTTAGGTTCAGGAAAGATTGGGGTTATTGTTAGGTTTAGAAGACCTAAATAATTACATCCATAGAATGTGGTTAAATTACTCTGTTGATATAGGAATAGAACATGTGCACTGTGTCAGAGTGTTATTCCATTGTGGGTAGCATTTATTTCGATAAAGTTTCACAGTGTCTTACAGTCATATTAACTGATGACGTTTCGAGCACAATTGATTGCGCAGTAAATATTACTGTATTCAACTATGAAACTTTATCAAAATAATTTTTACCCACAGTGGAATTATACTCTTTTGATATTGCAACCTAAAACAGAACTATGTTTATCACATGTGAGAGGAAAATATCCTCTGTAACACGTTTATACAGTTTCTATGCAATTTTTTCTTAAATATATTTATTCCATGCACAAAATCGCCTCCTTCATGTGATTGGTGCGTTCAAAGTTATTCGCTTGTTGGTAGTTTGTGTCAGCCTGTCAACGGCCGTAATTTTGTATGCTCGTGGGTGAGATAAACAAGTGATTTACTCTCCTGTGATTGGCCAGTTTGTCATTGGAGTTGCGGTAATTTCAGACATCATTTAGCTGCTTGGTTAAGGTAGCGATTTCAAGGAGCGTTTTATCAAGTCAAGTGCATAATTGCCAGAACATACTATTACAGCCCGGGATAAAAATTATATATCAGAGGATTTATTTGCTGAATTCAATGAATTCATCCCATATCAAGGTCTAAGGACTTCGCAGGAGTGTCAAGGATGCAAACAATGCTCCAAAGAGGTGATAACCTCATGCAACTTCAGTTGTCGTTTGACTACTATTTTCAGAGATCCTTAAATAAGTATAAAATACACAGCGGTCAGCTTAGTCATGATGAAAACGGCATGGTTGATGCAGCAAATACGTATACTTATGTATATGTAGGTATACCTACATATACTGTATTCTTGTCACAAAGATCGGCAGGCAGGTATCAAACGTTACAGTAAGCAGTGTAATACATGTAGACCACATGCTTTTATTTGACACAAACAGGATCTCCATTCACTTTCAGAATTAATCAGGAGTTAGTTTGGAATAAGCTAGTTGACTACATCAATACTGCGAGAATACAGTGAAAGTAAGTAAACACCTGATTTATAAGATTAAATGATGCATTTAATCGATATGATTGTATTATTAGTAGTCATCTGTTTAAGCTAATGATGAATTCGTTGCGATAATGCCTGTTATTGTTTTTATAGTCACTATGAACACGAACGTTATTATTAGTGCAGTCAAGACTATTAGTATTTGTCATAAAGCCATTGTCATTTTTTTGAAATCTTTGTACAAGCCTTTGAAACCACCGCATAACTTCATTATAATAAAGGTTTTTGTATTTTCCAATGAATGAAAAACAAAACGATATTGTTTTCACTGACGTTTCGCGATTTAATGCTAATAGCTTTATCAAAGTATTATTAAACCGGAATTTACAAAATCTCAGCATATATATAACAAACAGTTAGGGGGTGAGAAAATAGACATAGGTCAAGTTAAAGGGACATATTGAAAGTAAAAATAGCAATGAAGATAACTAGACCAAATAACAAAGGTAATAGTATGTCTGTTATGATATGAAAATAAAGTTTACTAACTTGATCACCGTTCATCTGTCTGGGGGCATTTTTAGTTGTCCAGTTGGTGAATTGGTAAAGATAACAAAACCATCATGTGTAGATTGTTGGATTTGATAAGTGTATGAGATTATAAAAGCAGCGTGTGTTTACATAATGAAAGTGCTTATCACATTCGTGTTGGTTTTGTCACTTGATGGGGGGGGGCAGGGAGGTGTTGTAACCAGGTCAGATTCTGTTTTCGTCTATCATTCCTATTCAGGCAATTTTGATTCCACTTGATATGAAGTGCTTCTGATATTAGACGTTCTTTGTGATTTCTGAAGTGCTTTTTCTGGATTATTTCAACATTGTCAAAATCAATTTTGTGGCCTGATTCTACAGCATGTAGACCTATGGCTGATGATTTTTCAAGTTTTTGTAGTTCAACAGGATTTGTCGGTGGTCGAAGAGATGCTCTACGGTGTTCATTTCTTCTTATTTTGATTTCTCCCTGGTGATGTTTGTCCAATGTATATTGCATCACATTCCAAGCATTTCATTTTATAGACACAGTTAGATAGATAATCTTTGGGGATTTGGTCTTTTATATGGACAAGGTTGCTTTGAAGTGTGTCTGATGTTTTGAAGAAAACTCTAATGTCGAGTTGATTGAGTACTCTTCTGATGTCGTCTGACGTCTCTGCTCTATATGGAATGACGGCTGTTGATGTCCATGTTTTCGGAATGCGTTTTCGGCCATACTCAATGTCTGTGTTGATTTTGTTAAATAATTTAATCATTTCATGATGCTTCGATGAATCTACTAGATATCGACCAACGATAAATTGCGAAGTCCCTTAAGTTAAGTGAAAACTATTTAGCAACTTACACACATTGTTTGCAAACTGATTACTTGTAAATGCTTATCAAGAAAAATTTTTTATTCAAATCATGCATGTACTACCCAAGTTATTAATGCTCTTCTTAGAACTTTTCAAGCTTATGGAGAAACATATATGTGCTGTTACGCAGATGGAACCTATTGACAGTAACGGAGGACTACTCATTTGAATTATCTGTGCATTTGGAATCTAATTTTTGTTTAATAAACAATTTTTCAATGGATCTGTGTTCCTTCTGTTGTAATGCGATTGTGTTCCAGTAACATAAGTAGCACATCCTAAGGTAGGAATTGAGGGTAAACTGTTAGGAGTAAATGCGGCGTCTGGGAAACTTTTGTTCACGCGATTAGTTGAACAGATAGTAACGTACCGTGTTTTGTGGCTGCGAACCGTAGGCATTCTGTTTTTAATTATTACGATAACCGTAGCTGCCCTTAGTTACACATATCGAACAGTATAGGTGCATTATTCCGATAAGTAGAAATCACAAGTACACTATCTCAGGTAGATCTACTTTTCACCTTGTGAATATGAATCCGAAGTCAGTTAATAAGTTCCTACCAAGACGATAGATAACTCTAAGCGCTTATAATCTCAATGTTTTCTTTTACAAGTAGACGCCGTAACTTTATTACGGTACGACACAGTCTTTTTTATCAATAAGCCTCTCTGAATATCTAATTTCACTTAGAATTTCTAAGATCACGTCATATACTCCGTACCTCACAACTTACACAAGGGCTAGAAATCAGTTTAATTAAGTAATAATAATGTATATTTTCATATAAACATATTGGTCTAAGCATGAAAACTATCACGTTTC